GATCATGGTCGTACTATAATAGCCCTAATAGATATCTACAATCACAACATTACTTAGTCACGGGTGTTCCCTATAAAGAGTGCGATACCACTCTCGTCAGATGATACACCGTCATCCACTGGGAGTAGTCCTCTTGCGTCTTTTCATATTAGATAAGGGAATGAAAAATAGATACCTCGAAGGGTAAGGGGAACAGATACCCTGAAAGGCAAGGGGAACAGATACCCCTCAAAGATAAAAAGTCTAACGAAATATTTGATGCAATATGCATTTCAATATAGATATACTTCGAACCATACAACTTTCATTTCACTTTTATCTTTTTCTTTTCTTTTATAATTTTTACTGTTACCGATTACATATTATATTTATTACATGCAAATTCATCAAATGTCTACAATTCACATAACATCCTTGAAAACAAGAACAATTCGACTTATCTGAACATAAAGGCATACAAAACAGGCAAAAATAACCATCATATTAATTTAGTTTATTTAAAAATACTGCATAAGACATCGAAAGAAATACTAGATTACTTACTAAAACTTTAATATTTTCTCCTTCACCATTCTCCTTTCTTTCTCTTCTTCTCTCACTAGACTACTATCTCTCTCTCTCTTTTTAAATCTTTGAAAAATGGAAGAATGAAAGTGTGGAGAATAAGAGAAGAGGAAGAGCAATTTATAGAGTTTTGAAACCGTCGGAATCGCGCCAAGTGGCGAAATCCGGTGAATAGAGAGAAAAAATGGTCAGCATGAAAAACGAGGGAGGAGGACCTCTTCCATCGACAGCGGCGGCCTGTCGCCCGAGGCAGTGGCAGTGCACTACCCGAGGTGACAATGCCCCAGCCAGCGGACTACATGCTAGCCTGCAGGCGCACAGGCCTCTTGCCGCACGCACAAAGCCTAGGCACGCTGGGTGCTGCACGCAAGCCCGAGGCGCACAAGGTCTATCTGCGCGCGAGGTGACACGCGCAAGTCTTGGCCCCGCGTTGTGTGCGCAAATGGGACGTGCGCACAATGCCCAGCACCCGTGCGGGCAACTTAACTCCCAGCGGGATTTTCTTCCCGATTCACTGTTTTCTGATTTTTTTTCTCAATTTGTATATTTAATTTAAATGAGATATACTTAAAATTAAATAAATTAAATTAAAATTAAATTAAATTAAAATTAAATAAATAAAAATCAATTAAAATTATGAAATACGATAAATATTAAGTAACGTAAATTAATTAAGTTTAACGTAGCCAAAGACCCGAATAAATAGGGTTTTCAAATCATTTAAGCACAATGAAGGGCGGAGTGTTACAATGTGTCTATTTTTTCTTTCAGCAACCTTATTCTGTTCACTGGTGTAGACACAACTTATCTAGTGAATTATCCCATTTGATTTCCAAGTATGGAACCCACTATCCATATATTCTGTATCATTGTCAGTTCTTAGGATCTTAACTTTAGAATCAAATTGTGTACATATCATTTTATGAAATAATTGGAAGAATGAAAACACATCATTTTTTTGTTTTCAACAGGTAAATCCATATCAATCGAGTACAATAGTCAATAAAGGTAACAAACCATCAATGACCAAATAAAGAAATATTCTGATTAGATCCCCACACATTAGAGTGAATAGTTATAAAAAGACTAAAACTTCTATTATTACTTAAATGATATGAACTCCTTTTATGTTTAACAAATGCACATGCATCACAAAATAAAGAATCCATGGAAGTTCTTTCTTAAACAAACTAGAATATAATTTTTCTAAAATAAAAAAGAAAGAATGTCCCAACCACCGACGCTATTGTAGTATTTCCATATTGACTTCTTTGTTCTCAATGGTGACTTGATTCCCAATTAGGTTATGACTTCTTTTCAAGATATATAAGTCATCTTGTAATCTACCAGTGTCAATCATCCCCCCTGTTCGAAGATCCTAAAAGATACAATAATCATAAAAAAATTCAATTTTACAGTTTATATCTTTAATAATGACACTAATAGATAAAAGGTTATTAGGAAATCTAGGCACATGTAAAACTAAGGACAATGTAATATCGGGGTACAATTAATGGAATCTCTTTCAAACACAGGAGTGTATGACTCATCTGCTATACGAATATTTTCTCCTTTAGTATAAAAAAAATAAATTAGAAATTCAGTGGAAGAATCTGTTATCTGTCTGTTAGCTCCAGAGTGTATAATCCAAATATCAGGAATGGAAATAAGGAGAGAAAGAATACATGATTTTACCATATGTGATGCACCAATAGTTGTTGAAGAGTTAAGTTGAGACAAAATGTGCATTAGACTCTGAATATCTTCGGCGGAAAAAGTTTCAATTGTCAGTGTGTTAGATGTTTCACTTGCCTCAACCAAGTTTGTTTGAGCTCTCATAGGCCCACCTTTCCTTCCTCCAACGTCCTTTAATGGGTTGTCTATGCAATTTCCAGCAAGTCTCCTTAATGTGTCTCGGTTCCTATAATAGTCACAATTCCGTTGGTTTTTGAAGTAATCAGATTGAGCAATGAATCCACCTTTCTCAACTGGTGCTACGTGGAGCATGGCAATTTTTCTACTTTTTTCTTGCTGAACGTAAGAATAAGTTTGTTTTAATGAGGTAATGGGCTCATTTCCAAGTACTTGGACCCGTATCTGATCATATTCGGCATTCATACCAGCCAAAAAATCATAATCCGCTCATTTTCTATCATTTTCTTAAATTTGACAGCATCCCCTGGGCAATCTGCTTGAAAATCCTGATAGTAGTCGAACTTCTGCCATAGTCCACTGATTTCAGAAAAATATTGAGAGATAGTCAACTTTTCTTATTTTGTGTTGTGAACCTTATTCGGGAGTTCATAAATTTGAGTATCATTACCCACTTGTGAATATGTAAGAGACACTACATTCCATTTTTTTGCGGCAGTGTTGATCAACAAATATGTTCGGCCAATACGAGTTTGCATGGAGTTAATGAGCCAAGATATGACCAAAGAGTTTTCATAGTCTCATATGTTATATTTCAAACTACTGATTTCTGGCTTCTTTACATCACCAGTAATATAATCCTGCAAACTTTTGACTTTGATAAACAGTAAATAGGATTTGGATCAGACAAGATAATTAGTTTCATCAAACTTGACAAGATTGATTTGTAGTGATGGGTTATCATAGTTGGGAACAATCATCTTTTTTGCTTCTGTCATTTTTGAATACTAGAAACAACAATAATACCCAATAATATATCTCTCAAGGATATAATACAATTCCTAATTAGCACCACAAAAAAGCCGAAAAAGTTCTGAGATAGGAGAATATTACCGGAAGCAAAACCAAATCTGAGGAGAGAATAACTAAGATAGCAAACCTGGTCCAAAAATAACCAGCAACCTGAGAAGGCTGAGAAAATCATACCCTAGTTACAACCTGAGAGGAGAAGGTGCGACAATCGCACAGCTGAGAAGGCTGAGGGTGCGCAGCTACGTGGAACCCAAAAACCAAGTTGCGCGGTGAAGGAAACCGAACGAAAGAAACCAAAAACCACTGTGAAAAGCTAGTGCAACCCAAACGGAGGAACTAATGCGACCCAATCTGTGAAGCTTCTTCACTATCCAAAAATTGATGCGCAAAACACAAAATGCTACGAAGGGACGACGTGAATCAGTGGTTACAAGAAGGCAGCGCGACACGCGAACCAATGAGCTGTGAAGAAGTGATGCGCGAACCAATGAGTTGCGGAGAAGAAGAACAACACGAATCAGGAGGTTGTGTGTGAAGGGCAGCGTAAACAGCCACATGCGAGCGGAGTAGGCAGTCGGGTATGGCGGAGAAAGTCACCGGAATAAGGCAGCCGGCCACCGGTGAGATCAGTACTCCATTTGGGTGGGTGTTGAAAAGATTCTAGAGTTTTGAAATAAACTTTGAAATTGAAACCCCAAAATATCCTTATTTTACTCTAATAACATGTAGAAATTTGAGAAAAATATTTACACTTTATTTTTCACTTCCATTATCTATTACAACTGACTCGTATATATATAAGAATTCTTAAGTACAAATAAAATTTTCCTTTCTAATAAATATTCAAAATAATTACATCATTGTGGAGAAAATAAATGGTAAGACTATATAAGAAAAAATATCACGATCATTTAAGCAACAAAATATTCGTGTCAACACAAATAATTGTCAAAACTTTCCAGATAAGATGAATCAAATCATGCATAAGCATTAACAAGGGAACTGCTTCACAATACATAAAACAGAAACATTAAGTTTAGTCACATTAAGAGTTACCCAATCTTAGCTAACACAAAACTAAGGCTGCACCTCCAAAAAAGCTGCCAAGAACATGATATAAGACCTTGTATTTTTAATTCTAAAACAAGATTGGGAAGAATAAGTTACCAATGGAATTATTAGCCAACTCACATGCAACCAAAAGAAGATTGCTGAGATCTCTCCTCCAGGCTAGTTTAAAAATCTAGCCTCTAAAGTTCAAACAACCAAAGAGAAATGCAATACAGAATGGTACACATACAGCATCAACTGTGATTATAGAAGCAATAAAGAGAAAAAGGAAAGATGTCACAATACCAGAAAAAGAAGAAAAAACTTGTAGTTGCATGCTCCAACACAATTCACAACCCAGACACAATGGTGGTCCATCTTAAGAACACATCTTTGACCTAAAAAAATTACAAAAAACTTTTAAAGAAAGTTTTAATTATAGTGTCGCACTAGTACATCTTATAATTCCAACTGTAGTTAATTAAGTCAACACCTATAAGAACACAACCTTGGTCTTTCAGATGTAACTATGAATGATAAAAAGCATGCAGACTCCTGCTACAATGACATGAAGACAATAACTATCAGCTACTTTAACAGAAACTAGAATACCACAGACCTTAACTGATTTGAAGACCATGTCTATAAGAGTAATTAAATATTCCAGACTGAGTGGAAGCATTCAGAAGTTCCTAACATAACAAGCCTGTATAAGGAATTACTTGAACTGAAAATTAGCTTTGCAAGAAGCTAAAACTTGATTCCTTGTAACATCAATAGCATGTTCTAAAAATAGATGGAAACATTTGACTCCATCCCAAAGAAAAGCCACGCAGGAACAACACTACCATTATGCGAAACACCAGATAAAATTAGTGGGGGAAGATTAAAAGTTGGCTTACAAACAGAGCAGTGGTGGCAACGTGGTGGCTTGCCATTTTGACAATGTATGCAGTAACCTGCTGGCGGTCTTCTTTCTGAACCATCAGGAGATGACCATGAAGATCCGGAAATCTCAGGACCTCCACCATCTGGAATTATCGTGGAACTTCCAGCCTCCAAACTTTCATATGATGAAACGGGTCTCCAATTTTCCGGGACAGAACCAGGATCCGTAAAGACCACCATAACGTAGCTCCACATCAACAGTACAAGCTGCAATCCACAACCCATTTTTCAGAATAAAAAGTTCCATGAAAATGCTATACCCCAAAATTATAATGAAATATATCCACTTTTGGTTTCAATGAACTGTCGTAACTGTCGAATATCTGCAAGAAAAACAACTCTAATTTTAAAATGCTAGCACGATATTACCAAGTCGAGTATCTCATCGGTAATTACAGGTAGGATACTGGTAATTACAAAATTGCCAACATAGATAAATTGCCCCATGTTATGGATTTAAGCTAGTGATTTAAGTTGTTCTAGTTCCGAGAAAAAAGCAAATCACAAAATTATAAGCAATTAATGTGAAACCAAATAGCAAAAAACCGACAGTGGCAAAAGCAAAGGGCGAAAAAGAGAAAATAACCAGAACATGAAACAGTAAGATGATTGACAAAGCCAAAAAGGAGTGGAATCCTCCACGAAGCAAGCGGGGGCCCCAGGTTAGGACGACGACGGCGTAGTAGGAGACAGCGATTATTGCGGCGACAAGAAGGATCATGAAGTAGCCGAGGACCTTGAGTCCAGAGCAAAGCTTGAAGAGGTTTATCTGCATCCCAGGATTAAAATGACGACGTATCCCGAGTTGAGGGAGGAAGGAGACGGATCTTCGTGTTCGCCGGGAGAATAAGCGTTTCCAAATATCTGAAGCCAGGTTTTTGTCACTCAAGTTTCCTTTGTTACCGACGCCGGTGGTGGCGATCGGCGAGAGACAACAAAAGCAGCGTAGCAGGAAAATGACCGATGAAATGGGCGTGCTTGGCTTCGTGTTTACCTCAGTCCTCGTCCAGGAGACTGCGGTTCAAAATCCTGTTTGGGGAGTATGCAATTCGGGGGACTTTTTTTTTTTCATTGGCTTAATCCGGTGCGATCCGTTTGCCGATGAAAAAAAAATTGAACCGGGTCGGGTAAAAACAGTTCCGAATTTAAGTTTTACCTATTTGTATCTTTTTCTTTTAAATTATTTTTCTATTTTGACCTATTTGTGTTATTTATTGTTATCCAGATTCTCCATATGACATTCCTATAATTCTCTTTTTACCCACTTTATTATATCAAACTATAGATTTCTATTTGACTCAATTTCTAAAGATATTTATGTTCATTTATTTTTAACTTTATGTTTTATTTAATATAATTCATACATGAATTGTTATAATATAATTATCACACATAATGCATATTTTAAGAAGACAATTAAGGACAAACAATAAATAGGAGGCTAATTATAATGGCCAGGTAATCTATGTATAGTATGTAAAGGGCTAAAATTTAAAGAACATGAATTTGTATTTTAAATGCAGAAGTAAACAATAACGTTAGAATTTACATTCCTTACATAGTAAATTATAATACCCAATAAGAATACGGGAATGTTCTTTCTACAGTGGTTCGTAAATAAAAACGAATAAATAATTTAAAACAAGTAAATAAATGTTGTACGGGACTAGCACTTGACGAGGCCTGGGAGGTTAATCTACTCATAACCCTCATACTGATCAATATCTGGATCTTAGTCTTTTTTATGTGAAATGGTTAATAGAAAAGTAAGCTACACTAACCGAGTAAGAATATCATGCTAATTATTGAGATAGAAAACTAAAATTTTGTAAAAATCATAAAATAACTAATGGAATTCTTAATTTGAGTAAATTCATTTAACATAAAAAAAATCGTTTATTCCATACTTATTATTGTGAATTTTTCAAAAACGATCTATGAAAACAATAAATTTGAATATCATTCTTATGATACATTTATATGAACAATAATAGTAAACTTATCTCATTCCTTACTTACCGGTACCTCTGGAAGTTTATAGGAATATTTCTCTACTCGTGAACCCAATATATAGATTTATCAATTAATCCGGTCGTCGCCATATCCCGTCCGGTAATGGAAGCCAAACACATCATCATCTCAATACTTCGTCCAATATGAGGTGAACCATATCTCCCAAACTCTTCCGGTATGGGACTTTTTAGCTCAATCCGACTGAATTAATATCAACAGTAGAGTTCCCTATGTATCAGATCCACCCACCCTTTTCTAGAGTACCTAGTAAGCCTTTTATATATAGATCTCTACTAACAAAACAACCACCAATTGTATACCAACATTTTATTTTATATTCACATATCAATCAAATGATATTTAAGCAAACAATACAATTTCATACATCAACAATTAAGAACGTAATTAAGGTCTTTATTTCAAATCGGTCAATCAAATAAAAATCACGATTAGGCGATCAATAAATGAGAAAGCAATTTAAAAGTAATAATTTAAATTACATGGTGAAACAATAAGTAATGTAAGCAGTATAAAAAAATAAATAGGCAATACAAACGAGTTAGAACAATTGTAAACTAAGCAATGTCTGGCTTCACTAGTGACTTGTAATTATTTTTAGGATTTTTTCTAATTTTTCACAAACATAAAATATTCGATTATTAAGCCTCAATTTATCGTAGTAGGGCGTAGGATGAAGGATTCTTATTTAGATCAATATTTTGAAATATCGTACTATCTACTACACCTCCTAACGGATTCCAGATTTTCTGAATTTTTCTTATAGAAATCAAAATACTCATCGCGTATTCAAAAATATCCCAAAAATCCAAAATCAGTGTTGAAAACTTTTTCAGCCAATTTTAGGGTTCTGGCACGCCAACGTTGTCGTGCTCTAGTGTCAACTCTGTCGCCACAGCGGCGATTTACTTCAATCTGACCGGTTTTGGCTGGTGTTACATGTATCCCTGTGAAAAACACGTTAGAAAGCCTTGGATGGCCAAAAAAATTAAAAAATCGAAACTTACCGGCGGGGTGTCTCCGAGTGCGGTGGCTCCGTTGGTTCTCTTTCATGGCTGGAATTCTTCTCTGGCTAACCTACACCAGAAAGAGACGATGAACACAATGGTCAAAGAATCGTGTAAAATGAAAAAGAGAAGGGGGTCATCGGAGAGGGTTTAGGATTTTGGTCGCCGCAGCTCCGTCGGACTTTACCTGCAGTTTCTAACTCACCCGCCATCCCTTTTACTCCGATATGGCCATAAGGAGACTCAAAATTGAATTTTGAGTGGAGAGGAAAAAATTTTACTTTTTTTGGCAATCGGCGGTGGCTCTGGTGTAGCGGCGGTTGAGGGTCGGCTTCCTTCTCCGGCGTCTGGTTCTTCTTCTCTGGCGAGGGTTAAATAGCTAGAGTTAGGCTCTCCTACAAAGAAGAGTTTAAATACTCCTCTCCTCTTCAATCCAGGCCTTCCATTTGTGTCGACATGGAGCGAGAAAAATAGTTCGATGATTTCTCATTTAGGCTGATGGCGTGGATGAATCCGAACCATCAATCGCTATCCATCTCATCTGTCCGATCGCATCTAAAAAGAGAATGTATCTGGGTCTTTCATGCGTGCGGGATGAGGTCTGAACCGTCGGATTGACATGCACGTGGATCGCTTGTTTGGCTTCCTGCGTGATGCCGATGTTAGCTTACTTGCCACGCAGCGTGCTCTGGTTCACTCGGGTTGTTGACTGAGTCATTCCACATGACCAAACTTTTTTTTTTATGATTTAACCCCCTGTTTTTAATTTTTCTTTCAAAAACACTCTTCTGATTCAAAAGTTCACTCATTCTCCCCAAAATTATTGCCAATTTCATCTCTAATTCATTTTTTCTCAAAAATTCACTAAGATTAAATTGAAATAAAATAAAATTAATTATTTATATAATTTTTATAAAAAAAAAAATTATCCCAGACTGATTTTTGGGTCTGGGTATTACATACTAACTAGCACATTTTAGAAAATAATAAACTTTTGAATCATTAAATAGTATATATTGTATGGTCATCCTATAAAATATTGAAATATATATATGCATAATTTTATTTAAAAGATAATTTCTTTTTTTATTTATTTTTAAAAGTTTATGTTGTACTTTTTATAATGATATACATTAACTAAGAGTTACAGTTAACTGATTGTTTTTTCTATCTTCTCTTTTTCTCCACATATAGAGTAGAAGTGTTATTGTTACAACCCTCCTTAGAGTTATCAAAAGTGAAAAAAAAATAGAGTTTAACGAATTCGAAATCAACTAAAATTTTGGATATATGATTACCATGGGATATATTGATTAAAGTTTTATAATTATTTGTTATTATCATATTGTTTTATTATTATCCTAATTGTTTGTATTGAGTGTTTCTATACATATTGCATAAATTTTTTATTGATTTTTATATAAGGGATAAATTATATTGGAGCTCTAAGAAATGAGAATTAGTTATAAGGAACCCAAGTTAATGTTATCATAAATTTTAGATATTGAAATTGTAAAAGCTTACAAATTTTACATCCATGGATCTTTGGAATGAATATGATATTTATTTAAAGAAATATTTGCAATAGTTTTAACCATATTATATGTAATATTTAGGTCCAAAAATTGGCCAGGGATAATTTTTTTATTATTTTATTTATAAAATATTTATATAAATAATTAATTAATTTTATTTAATTTTTGAGAAAAAATGAATTAGAGACGAAATTGAAAACATGAGGTTAAAACACAAAAAAGAAAAGTTCGGCTGTAACACCCAACTATTTTTATTATTTTTATTTTATTTCATTTTTATTAATTTTATATAAATATAAAATATGTATTAATTTAATTTATTTTATTTTAATAAAAATAATAATAATAAAAATTGGTAAAAATTGTTTAGGAATTTAATTGAAAATAATTTTGGGAAAAATGGGTGAAAATTTAGGTTCTGAGGATATTTTTGAAAGAAAAATTAGAAACCGGGGGTCAAAACGCAATTTAAAAAAGTTGTACCACGTCAGCTGCCCGATCAGCAGCTCCGACCAACCAGGACGCACCAGGTGGCAGAGACGCTGATGCGGGAGGTCACGCAGGAGGGAGCTACGCGGATGATCCGCGTGGGCGCGATCGAATGACTGAGATCTGTTCCTGCGCGCACAGACGACCTAGATCAAAAACGCGCACGGACGGCTCAGATTGAATCGCGCATAGACGGTTCAGATTGAATCGCGATGAACGGTCCAAATTCACTCTCTATTTAATCTCGATCAGACAGTTTAGATTAAAAGCGATGAACGGCTCAGATCAAAAGTGGATGGGTATAAATAACCTCATCCGCACACAAACCCTAACCCTAGCCGCCAGAGCCCCTCGCCGGAGAAGACAGCCCAACCGCCGGGGAGCCGACCGTCGCCACTCGCCGCCGTACCAGAGCAATTTATGACCGCCAAACGAGGTAAAAAATTCTACCCTTTGCTCAGAATTTAATTCTAAACCCACCTATGGCCAAATCGGAGCGAAAGTAGCGGCCAATTGGTCGGAAAACACCGCTGCGGGGTGTTTTAGTTTTCGCCTGCGATGAGACCCTTCCCTATTCCCATTCGATGTGATTTTTCCACCGTTGTGATCACCGTTTCCTCCTCTACAGGTTGACTGGAGCAAAACACCCAACCGTAACGTGAGCTGGAGGAACCGCCACACCAGAGAGCCCTACCACCGGTGAGTTTCGATTTTTTACATTTTTTCGGCCCACCGAGGGCCCTAAGTGTGTTTTCTCATAGGAACCGATACAAGTTTGGCTGAATTCGACCGAAAACAGCCAACCCAAGGTTGATCGCCGCCGGAGCACGGTGGAGCTGCCGTGTCGAAATTTCGAAATTGGTCGAGTAGGCCTTGGGTCTGATTTTTGGGTTATTTGGGACATGTGTAAGTACCGTAAACGCGTTTCAATTCCCGAAAAAAAAAAATTCAGAGAATCTAGGGACTGCCTGTAGGCGTAGTGACAA